TGAATCCATTTTCAGCTATAGACGTTAGTTATGCTTTTCCTTTGACACGAATTCACTCTTGTTTTCTCGGTTTCGTTTCAAAGCAACCATTTGTTTCTGCTCATTTAATTATTGTGAGTTCTCACGATTTCGAGCAATCTCCAGACACGATCAGAAGGTTTTCGCCAAGAAAAATAAATTCTAATTACCAAGTCGCGTTAATTTGAACAAGGGCGCAAAAATTCAATCGAACGCATTGGATCCTATCAAACCATGATGTTTTCAGTTTATTTTGGCACCAGCAAAGTTTCTAGTGATCTAGCAATAGGCGTATAACACCTTGAGAAAATTCGATTACCAGCTTTTGCTAAACGAAAACAGTGGGGTATGCAGGAACTGTTTTTAGAATATGATACGGGAAATCCTGGCGGGGAATTCTTCGGTTTCTGCGAATTGGATACAGCTGAAAAGAAATGCAAACAAACATAATTAAAAGTATTTATCATTGATAGTACTCTCGGGGTTTCTCGATACGGCGATTCATCATCTTCACCGTACACCTTCAATGAGCGAGAAATATTTTCCGACAATCAAAATATATTCGCTCGAATAGACTGTAGAGCTGCTCTTCAACATTTATTGATGAATTGAACTAAGAAACAATTTCAGTGGATGAATGCTGTCAATACTTATATCCGAGCGAATGTTCATCCAGCTGTCGGCAATACCTGCAAACGCCAACTCGAAGTGTCGCCTCTAAGCTATCCTTTACGGTCAACTGTCCACTACCCGACCAAATTCCACTCGACGACAATTGCGTGGCCAGTATCAAACGTAAACTGCATAAATGCTTCGGTGTGTGCATCAACCGAAGAGGTGTACATCTTCCGTACGAACCACACGCACACTGTCCGGCAGTATCTGATCCTGAAGAGCTCGACCCTTGCATCGGCGATGAGATCTAGTCACCGCAGTCATACACAATCAAAAACCACTGAACAGGGCACTTACAAGTGATAATAAATGAAGAAACAATGCTTTTTAAAATAATTTAGTTTTGCATGCTTGTTTCCATGCAATGAAATCGTTCCAACAATTTATGGATTTCCATGTAGTATAGGCTCATTCTGTGCAGCATTTTGCACAGGACAGTATAAAATTCTTCTTCTATCGAAACATTTAAGTGATTGTAAATTATCGAAACATTTAAGTGCATTTAAGTGAATTCACTTGATCGTAAATTTCCTCGTGAAAAATAAAGTTAGGCATGTCCACGCAGCGTAATAATAGTTCCGGAGTATGACTACATGAGACTTCTGCTTGAAGGCTTTTTCAGTGCTGAACATGGGATAGAGCTAGCACAGTAAACATTTCAAGCATAGCGTTTGTTTATTTTTGAATCGAATATGCTTAGATAATTGCTTTCAGATTGATGTTAAATGCGTTGGATTTGTTGTTCTATGAAATATTGTTTTTCCTAATCGGCATTATTAATCAATTCATCGTTTAAGTGCATTCGATAGAATTGTTTTAGTGACAGAATATTTTCGTATTCTCTGATCTTATCAAGTGACTCTTCTGAATATTATTAGCGTGATTATCATAAATGCATTGTGGCAATAATAATTATTCCTGTGAATACATCTGGTGAGAATTTCTGATTTTTGAATGGTCGCAGTGCTTTCGATGGATTCTCAACTGTGGCACTGAAACTAAACAAATAAAAGTCATCTCAATTCGTGCGATATTCTCAAACAGCTGTAATTTGGTAGTTGTTTCATGATTATATGTTAGCATTCGGAAGCCTTGATTTTGATTTTGATCGAATAGAACATGAGTTGACCGATCATGATCAGAACGTTACTTCGGGTTTGTTCCGATAGGCTCAACTGTGACTGTATTTTTAAACTTGAATTTCTAAAACATTACGAAGGTCACAAAAAGCACAAGTTTGAGGAATCCTGAAAATGATGGAAGCCCAGGATTTATCTGTACCGCGACTGATGTACAGGACAGATGGTTGATTGAGGAGTTATAATCGTTAAATTTCGACTGACTCATCCCTTAATTTTGCGTCAGATTTGATCAACCGATACAGCGTTTCTATCTACAAAGATTT